AGTATACGTGGACTAACAGGCAATCTAGTAATCCCATAGCAAGGAAATTGGATAGGGCATTGGTGAATCTTGAGTGGATTGAAAAATTCAAGGATTGTGGTATTGAGGTGTTCCCAGCGCATTTTTCAGACCACTGTGGAGTGCAGGTGAGTACAACTATGCCTGTCAAATCACTCCCTAAGCCGTTCAAGTATTTTGAATTCTGGGCGGAACATCCAAGGTTCCTGTAAATTGTTGAGGATCGCCACTGCAGATTGTTCAACGTAAACTTAGAGAGGTGAAAAGAGCTTTGAAGAAGTTTAATAAAGAGGTCTTTGGTAATCTTCAAGACCAAGTGTTGACAGCTAAAAAAGAGTTGCAGAGAGTGCAGATTTTGGCATTTTCAGCGCCTACATCAGGCCATTTTGCGGCTGTTTCTCAGGCCAAAGATCAGTTTGATCAACTGGTGCTTGCTTATGAAAGCTTCTGCTGGCAAAAATCGAGAGTCTCATGGTTATCAGTGGGAGATAAGAGCTCGAATTTTTTCCATCAGGCTGTTAAGATAAGAAATTCCAAGAAGGCAATTAGGAAGTTGGTTACTGATGGGGGAGTGGAGATAGTTCAGTCAGAGCAAATTGTTGAAGAAGTGGTAGGGTTCTATAAAAAATTGCTGGGTGAAGCAAATATGGAAATTCAGCCGAGAATGGAAGAGATACAGAACCTAGTTCAGAAGCAGATACCAGCAGAAGACTGTGCAGTATTGATACAGGACATCACAGTGGAGGAGGTTAGGCAAGCAGTTTTCAGCATGAATTCCCAAAAGGCTCCTGGGCCAGATGGGTTTTCTGCTGGTTTCTACAAGCGTGCTTGGTCAATCATTGGCGCTGATGTCACCAGAGGGGTATTGTTTTTCTTCCAAACAGGTAAATTGCCCAGTGGAGTTAACTCTACTGCTGTCTCTTTGATTCCTAAAGTCCCTGGTGCGGATACTCTTAAAAACTTTCGCCCTATCTCTTGTGTAAACCTCCTATACAAAATCATTGCAAAAATTCTGGCTAAACGTATTAGGGAAGTGATTCCTCTAGTTATCAGTAATACGCAGTCAGCTTTTATCAAGGGTAGAAGCATAATGGACAATATTTTGTTGGCCCAGGAATTGGTTAGTGGATATAATAGGGTTGGTTTATCATCACGGTGTGCAATTAAGATAGATATCATGAAGGCATTCGACTCAGTTAACTGGCATTATCTATTTCAAATGATGAGTGCTATGGGTTTTCCTCCAAAGTTTTTGGGATGGATTAGAAGCTGTGTGCAAACAGCTCATTATAGTATAAATGTTAATGGAAGTTTGTGTGGGTTTTTTCGGGCTCAGAAGGGGGTGAGACAGGGTGACCCCCTGTCGCCCTATCTCTTCACCATTGCGATGGAGGGCTTGTCTGTTATGTTGCATTCTGCAGGGCAGGCAGGAAGCATTCCCTTTCATCCTCAATGTCGTCGGATTGCGTTGAATCACATGTGCTTTGCCGATGACATATTGGTTTTTACAAAGGGATCTGCGCAGGCCATATTACAAGTCAAGCATGTTCTTGAGTCGTTTTATCAGCTCTCTGGTCTACGGAGCAATGCAGCCAAGTGCGAAGTGTATTTTGGAGGAGAATCTGTGCTATATAAACAAAATGCGTTGCTCCTATCTGGGTTTAAGGAGGGCAGCTTGCCGGTCCGTTACTTGGGACTACCGCTGATGACTGGTAAGTTATCCTCAACAGAAGTTGATATTTTGGTGGACAAAATCACAAGGCGAATCCGAACCTGGAGAGCTCGCAAACTCACATATGCAGGGCGGTTGCAGTTGGTAAACTCGGTTCTGCTAGGGGTTATACAATACTGGATGCAGCTATTTGTCCTGCCTAAGAAAGTACTAAAATGCATCCAGAAGATCTGCTCAAGTTTTCTTTGGCATGGAGTTGAGGAGGGTAAAGCAAAGGTGGCATGGGATGAGATAGCTTTACCTAAGCAGGAGGGTGGTCTGGGCGTGAGAGACATGCTAGCTTGGAATCAGGCTAGTACAATCCGTATGTTGTGGCTGTTTCTTGTGAAATCAGGGGCGCTCTGGGTCGCTTGGATGTCTGAATACAAGTGTAAACAGGGGGATTTATGGTCTATGAAGGTTCAGTATACTAGTTCCTGGGCATGGCGGCGAATTTTGAAATTGAGATCTATCATTATGCCTTGGATTCATATGCAGAATGGAGTTGTGTTCTGGGATAGACAGGAAATGCAGATTTATTCAGTGAGGCGAGTTTGGGAAACGCTGAGGAAGAAGGCACCTAAAGTCCCTTGGTGCAAACTTGTATGGAATGGGGTGACACCGCCACGGTACAGTTTCCTTGCTTGGCTTGTAATTAGGAATGCTATAACCACAAAGGATAAACTGAAGAGATGGGGGAAGCTAGCTGATGCCTCCTGCCCTTTTTGTGGATTGGATGCAGAGACAAGAGCTCACCTTTTTCTCCAGTGGGCATACTCGCAGCAGATTGCTGCCCTGCTACACTGTCAGCTTTTGCGATTTAATGGTTGGGATGTTATGTTGAGAGTTGTTGGTAGTAAAGTTAGTAGTAATTTTCAGGTGGGTAAATGGCATGCACTTCTCTGGTGCTTGCTGGTTGCATTAATCTGGAAAGAGCGCTGTGGGATTACGCATGGAAATGCACTCCGTCCTCCACAAACAGTAGCAGAGAAGGTCAAGGATGAGTTGCTTTTTCTCACGTGTGGCAACAGGGGAGTAGGAGATGAGATGAAAAAGTTAGGATACTTGTGAGTTTTTTCCCTTTTATACTGTAAGAAGGATAGAGTGAAAAGAATTGGTAGATAGGAATGAAGTAGTGATGTAGTGATGTTGATACAAGACCAGAGGGTCTTGCTTCGTTGTTTTGGAGTTTTTTTTTCTATTAATAAAAGGCTACTGATTCAACGAAAAAAAAAAGAAAAATCTACGACAGATATTCAGTTTTCTTTTAGTGATGAGACATCATACTACAAATCTATACAACATAACAAAAAAAGAGGATGAAGTACACCACAAATCTTATGACTATAGGAAAATTAATTTATAGTCACGGTATCATATTCACTGGAAATTTTCTCGTGTACTTTCACAGAAATAGTTTAATCTATTTTTAGTTATAATTTACAGTGATTAATGCTTGGTCATGGTTAAATTCCCTTAAACAATTTGACAATTTAACTTTGGCAATATATTCTCTAAAATAATGGTGGAAGAATTCTCTTTGTGTCCAAAATTTATTTTGGCTCTAAAATTTTGATTTGCTCCACAATTTCACTTCCCTCCTAAGAAATTACAGCAACAAAAAATCGATCACCCGCCTCTTTTGATCAGTTTTCACATTTTTGCATGCGCCCACACTTGGAAAAAATCGGGTTACTTGGCCTGAAAGACAATGCAACTCGATTATCTTCCCCTCCCTCTCTCTCCTATCTGTAGGGAGAACCGATTTCGCCTGGCTGCGGTGAGGCGTATTAGTGTTCAGTGGAGCCCTTTAATGGCGGAGATTTTGGCGATTGGTTTTGGTTTGACAATGGAAGAGGAGCAGGGATTCCGATCTGCGATGATTGAGTCGAATTGTCAGGTGGCCATCCATTACCTACAGGCTACAAAGCGTAGAAAGAGTGAGAACGGAGGAAGGTGACGGGTGTACGGAGGTGAGGGATGTGGCAAAAGGACTGGGCTAGATCTCAACTTAATTATATATGACAATTTAATGATGGATCATTGACAACTATAAAGACGGTACATTTTGTATTGTTTGCATTTTTTGTTCATCTCAACTTAGTTATAGATGGAATTGTATGAAAACTGAGGTTATTCTTAGTGATGACATTGTGTAATTATGATTTTAGTTGATAAATAATTTGTTAAAAACGAGATATGACATGTACAATTTCTTACTATAATTCAATTTAATCTTCAATGGTACATTTTAATGACCAAAATCTCATGAACCAAATTGGTTATATGAAATGATTTATTCGGTCGGCTTATGTGTTTTTTGCAACCAATTTTTATCGTTGTGTAACATTTTCTTAGATTAAAATAATTAGTTGTAGAAAATGATATGATTGGTCGGGCATATGTATATTTTATGACCAAATTTTAATGTTGACTTAAAATTCTATAACTAAAACATTTGGTTACCAAAATGGTTTAATTGTTGAGGTACATGTTTTCACGATCAAAAATATGTTTTCACGATCAAATCTCATGGTTGTTTTACATTTTTATAACAAAAATATTTAGTCACTGAAAATGATATAATTGGTAGGAACATGTATTTATGGTTGTCATAAGTATTTAGGACGACCAATCACCTTACATTTCGCAACCAATATTATGGACTATGGCAACCAAATGAAATAGTCACGAAAAATTGAGGTTTTAAACATTGGAAATTTGAGTTGCCATAGTCAGATTTTTTGCTGCCAATAATTATTCTAGTTGCATTAGAATTCATAAGGCTGCTTTAGCGACCAATCTTTTTTTTAATTTCTTGTAGAGTTAATTTCCCTAAATTTAATCTCAATTGTTCCTCTTAAAATAGCTACAATAGGAAGACAACATTTAGTAGAATTCTTAGAATAAGACAACTGTCATCATAACAAATTAAACAAATATAAAATAATATATATTCCTATTATATATAAATTACAGGTTCATAAAGAATGATATCTACACTATTAAAGATGAGAGTAGACGTTCAATAACCACAATCCAAACGAAGAACATCCGCGTTGTATTAATTTTTTCATAGAGCTGAATGGGCTTACATAGATCGTGAAAGATCTGCCCATAATTACATAACAATTGACAGTGAAACTAAACACACGTAGGTAGCTAGGTCGCAGCTAGCAAATTAACCACAAGCAAAATGATTCAATTTCTTTTTATTTTTATTTTATTGTTCAGAGATGTAGATATAGTTTTATTTTTTTGCCAAAACCATTTAAGGATAGAGTTGAATGAGGACTCGTAGGCCGCAAACTGGGGTGATGGTGTAACTGGTGAATCCAGCTTCGGAGAAGAGCTTGGCGAACTGTGCTTCTGTTCTGATCTTCCCCTCAGCAGCCATCATGATTACCAGGTCAAAACTCAAGAGTGTTTCAGTGGCGTCGCGATCGCTGCAGCTTTGGTGCCCCACTACCATGTCTGCTATCATCACCTTTCCCTTACCATTGCTGGTCACCGCTTCCTTGGCTTGCTTCAGTATCTTCACACATGATTCGTCGCCCCAATCGCACAGTACCCACTGCACGTACATTTTTTTTAATTTGCTTTCAATTTAACATTTCACAATCTTCCCGAAAATGACTAGACTGTGTATGATAAGACTCGCTAAAACTTACCTTGAGGAAGACAGCATCTGCTGGCGGGATTTTCTGAAACATGTCACCAGCAACGTAGCTGAGATTGGGTTGGGTAGGTTCCAGAGCAGAGACCACCTGGGCAAGATCGAAGACGGTGCAGTGAATCTCCGGGAAGGCCTCAGCGACGGCCTTGGAAGTGGTGCCCGTGTTCCCGCCGACATCCACGATGGACTTGAGGCCCTGGAAGTGGGACCCACACTTGGCCACCAGCGCCTTGCTGAACAGCCAGCTGTCCCTCCCGGTCCCTTCGCCCAGCAGCTTCCCGACCCGCGGGTCCTCCCCGCACACCTCGTACAGCTTCTTCCCGTTGTGAGCAAAAGAGAACGGAACCTCGCCAGCGCCGCCGGTTGTGGGTTGACGAATCCAAGCGCTGAGGGAGCGCCACGGGTCCACCAAGACTGGGTCGTTGGCTAGGAGGAGCCACGATACTGTGTTGAAAGGGTTGTCGTTGACCAAAAAACCGCACATCTCTGTTGGGGAATAGCTGGCCGCCGTTTCATCATCACCGTCTTTAAAATTTTCCACGAAGTAGCCCAAGTGGGCTAGCATCCGCATGAGGCGGCCGAGGAAAGGGGCTCTTGCCGGTGCTATTTTCAGGGCCGCGGCAAGCTCGCCGATGGTGATGGGCTTGCCGTGGCTCTGGACCACGCTTGGGATGTCCAGTTCGATAGCAAACTGGACAGCCATTGTCTTGACGTATGCGAAGGAGTGGTCCCACACTTGCTGCTGGGCCTTCAGGAGCTGAACGGCTGTGTCTGAATCCATCAATGCAAACTATTAATTACTACTTGTTATTATCGCACCTCTTTACTTTTTAGATCGAGGTCGTAGTTGTAGTGGAAGTGCTTAATTTGCTTCTCTATTTATAGCGATCCATAATTGGAACCAACGTTGTGCATTAATGAAGCTTACGGCCGGCCAATAATGATTTTTATTGTATTGTTTATGGTATTATCCTTCCCATCACTAATTATCGCTGGTATTATAATACTGCGCTGGTTATTGAACTTGCCAGGGAAACTCCGAGTCATGTGGTTGCCAGCCAGCCATGTAATGTGAGGAAATTAGTTAAGGCGGATTCTGTAGTGCAGTGCCGGCACTAGTGCCGCCTGCTTTTCAACCGCTGGATTTAATGGAATTAATGAAGATCGTTGATTAATAACCAGTTAATCACCACTTAACCAAAATAGGTTGAACCTATTTTTGGCTGAATCTGTTTAATATTGAAATTCTGTATTGTTACTTTGCGTTCCCCCAAAGAATCCGGCCCTTGCCAAACTGTTTTATCAGGAAAACGAACTTTACCGTCGGCTGAAAGGGTAGGTCAACGCAGCCGATCGAATTGCTCGTTTCAGGCCAACAAAACAAACACTAAAGTTATGATACTGCCGCCGTAACCCTTCAATCTCCTCAAGGAGTTGCCCACCCTTCTAATCCCGAGCATCTCGTCTCTGAATCTTCTCAATAACCACCTTGACGTCCCCATAAAACCACACTTCATTAATGCCCTTCAAAGAACACCACTGAATCGCGTCCTGAAATGCTACCAGCTCCACCAGAAAATGATCAACAATACCTGCATAATAAAACAAAAAACAATTGGCTTATCTAGCTGGTTAATAATGAAAGAGATATTTCAGAAATAGTTGTGGAAAAAATCTGACTTGATTTCATTGAGTAAATCTTTGAACTAATATACAGATGTGAGAAACAGAAAAGACCCCCATGTTCCACAACGATAGGAACCGAATAGGAGTGAGAGAAATAAAGGGAAAAGCAAATACAATAAAAACACATCTATTTATGCGTAATTATCTCTAATACGCCCCCGCAAGATGGTGGAGGCATCAACGACGTCAATTTTGGATCGGAGTAGAAGAAACCGAGAAGTCGAAAGAGGCTTGGTAAGAGCATCGGCCAGCTGATGAGTCGTGGGGATGTAAGAGACACGGAGGCGGCCAACTTGGACGAGCTGACGAGCAAAGTGGTAATAGAGAGCCAAATGCTTCATCCTGGAATGAAAGACGAGGTTGGAGCTGAAGCACGTGGTACCTAGATTGTCAGAGTGAAGCATCGGGGGTGCGGCCAGAGGAACCCGAAGCTTAGTGAGAAGATTTTGAACCCACTCTAACTCGGCAGCGACATGAGCAATGGCACGGTATTCGGCCCCCGTGTTGGAACGAGCAACAATCCGTTTTTTTTACAACGTCAGGAAAAAAGAGTGGAGCCAAAGTAGATAAGATAACCAGAAGTGGAGGAACCATCATCATGATTGCCAGCTCATTTTGAAATTAAATTTTTTTGTGTTTGGTATTTCAAAGAATTCTTTTTCAATTCTAAATTTTGAATTCTACGGAATTGGAGCTAGTTATGGCAATTCCAAGGAATTGAGATGGAATTTCCAAATGAATTTCACAAGTATTTACTAAATTACTCTTTTGTTAACTAAATTACTTATACATATGACATACCAAACACAAGAATTCATTTGACAATAAATTATACACGACAATTTATTTTATTTTTAAAGATTTGAATATGACATACCAAACACAAGATTTCATTTGACAATGAATTCTACATGGTAATTCATTTTTACAATGAAATGTACTCTCGATTCATTTGGTACCAAACGGAGAAAACAAAGAATTATATTTATGAATAAGTTTATTGCTCCTTTCTTCGTAACATTAATAAACTCCCATCATGGGATTCATCAGATAAATTATCAAACCATGGCATCACGGCTCACAGGGATCAAGCATAGACTGGATTTTCTCCTCACCGTAAGTCCAAAAATTTCGGCCATATCTAAATTCTCAGGCCCCATTCCCTCTGCAAATTTCCAGTCAAAATGATAGAGCAAATTGGCAAACGTCAACTTAATAAAAATTGACGCGTAATGCATTCCCGGACACATCCTTCTTCCTGCTCCAAATGGGATGAACTCAAAATCGTTTCCTTTATAGTCAGTTAAACAATCGAGAAACCTCTCAGGATAAAATTTCTCGGGCTCTTTCCAATAATGAGGATCCCTCCCAATTGTCCAAGCATTAACTATGACTTTGGTCTTGGCTGGAATTTCGTAGCCACAAATTTCAACCTTCTCCCGACTCTCTCTTGGAATCAACAAAGGGACCGGAGGGTGTAACCTTAGACTTTCTTTGACCACCGAGTCCAAATATTTGAGTTCATGGAGGCTAGATTCATCCACATTAAATTTCCCACTGTACACTTGCCTAACTTCTTCCTGTGCTTTTCGAAGTACTCTCTGATCTTTCATCATTTCAGCCATCATCCAATCTATTGTCGTTGAAGAGGTTTCCACTCCAGCCAAGAACACTTCCTAGAAAGTAGAAACCGAAATAATTGTTGGTAATCTCAAAGGGGTTATGATAGTAGATTTCGAATATGAGAAAATTTGCTATATGTAAATACCATATTGTATTAAGGTTGTAGGCACAATATGATTCTCAACTATGCATTTTTATTAAATATGCTCTTTTATTATTTTTCATATCGAACATGCTCATGTATTTTGAAAAGTTTATCAAACATGTCATTTTGCTAAAATTGCCATTCAATGACCATTAACCATGGTCGAATCTCGGTTTGAACAAAAAAAATCTAAAATATCACTAATAATTTCAATTAAATATTTTTCTAGCTCTAATAATGTCATTTGAACGAGACTTAGAGAAGTAAATGAAGGGGTAAAAATGACATTTTTCCTCCCATTTTATCGAGTTCAGGTTGTTCAAACCATGATTTGACTGTAGTAATTAATGATTTATGGATAAAACTTTTAAGAGAAAATCATATTTGAAATTTTTTTTAAAGTACAAAATCATATTTGATAAAAATGCATAATAAAGAGAAAACTTATACTACCTATAACCCATTATATTAGTAATGTATTAGTGGCCTTTGTGAATATATATAGTCACACTTACCAGTAGTGCACCTTTGATGTTTTTCGTGGTCAAGTTGAAGTGGAGGGTCCCACTTTCTTGGAGATTCAAAAGAACATCTACCAGATCATCAGGAGCCGTGCTGGAGTCAATGGATCCTCTAGATTTCGCCGCCGCTCTTTTCTCCTTGTGCTCGTTAATTATTTGGTCTAGCATCGACTCCGCCTCGCTATGCATCTTCCTCAGTTTGCCCTTATATCCACTGATGACCGCCAGAAACTTCATCGACGGGAAAAGGTCGGACACCTTGAAACCTCCGAGAATGTCCGAGACATTCTCCACCATCTTCAAAAACCCATCGTCCAACTCCATCGCCTTCCCTAACGCCGTCTGGCACGTGACCCGAGTCGACAGCCAGAACGCCTCCTTGCCGATGTCCACGGCCTCCCCCGCGGCCGCCTTCAGGGAGAGGCTGTCGATGAAATCGGCCATCTCCGCTTCCCGTACGGGGCTAAAATATTTGACCCGACCCGCCCCGAGCAGCTCCGAAACGCAAGCCTTGCGAAGGTGCTTGTAGGTCTCCGTGTACGCGGTGAACACCAAGTCGCTCCCTGCGTACATCACCATGTCTGCCCCTAGAAGTGACGGCCGCGACGCGAAAATCACGTCGTGGGTCTTCATCACTTCTCGGGCCGCCTGGCTGGAGGAGACCACAAGGTGTGGTAGCTCTCCCAGCTGGAGGCTCATCACGTCGGGCCCGTATTTACGAGCCAGGTGGCGTAGGCGCTGGTGTGGGAGGCTAGAGACCAGCTGGTGGAGGTTCCCTATGACTGGGAGCCTCCATGGCCCTGGCGGCGGCGGCGGCCCCGGAGAGGAGGAGGATGTCACTTTGCGGATCAATAAGCTTATGGAGAGGAGGAGAAGGATGGTGGATGTGAGAACTGGGAGAAAGGTTGAGGTGGCGGATAGCTCTCTCAGTTGCTCCATGACAACCTTTTATGTCACGTATATTCGATTTCTTGGTAATCTAAACTTCCTACTTCTCCATCCCTTATATAGATGTCCGGGAAAATGACATATACAGTATTTGTAAATCCCAAATCGAAAAATTACTGGAGAGATTCATGGTTCATAAGTAAGCAACCGACCTTAACTGACAAGATGTGTTTTGGGTGAAATGTATGAGTTCTTGTGAGAACTCCAAAGTTAAACGTGCTCAGTGTGAAGCACAACAAGGATGTGTGATCTTATGGGAAGTCACCTGAATTGCACCCCAAATTGAAATTCGTGCGGGTGTAAAGGCCCAAAGCGAACAATATCTTATCGAAAAAAGGTTCGAGATGTTACAGTATTGCCTCGCGTCGGCATCTTTCAATAATTATACTGTCCACATGTAATATGAATCAGTTGTTTGTTTCTTTATTTCTCTTTTTAAAAACGAAAACCTTAATATTAAGTTCAATTTTAAAAGAGGTGAGAATAGGTAGGGTCTATATAATAGATGATTACGATGATGAGACATTATTATTTGGTAATATTCAAATAATTGATCATATGCATTTAGTAAACTAGCACAGGGCTCGGTCCGTTGGCCGGAAGAATTTTGTCGAGTAATATGATATATAATAATGGATATAATAGATAATTTGAAATGCAATGATTGTTTTCTACCTTAGTTATGCACATAACATTTTTGAAAGTGATAGAACTATGCATCATATGTTTAGACTTTAGACCTCCATGAAAAGAGAAAAAAATATAATATAAGCATTACAAATAATTATTGAATGAAAAAAATATATAACTAATTGTCTTTCAATACTTAATTAAACAATATAGTTGAATAATAGAGTT